CCACCACGCTGTTGACTCCAAAAGGAAGTAAACAAATTCAAGAAAAACTCAACCACAGACAGTCAAAGCAAAAATTGTACTATGACAAAAACTCCAAGCAATTGCCAGACATATCACCAGGAGACAAAGTGAGGATACGGCAAGGACAAATCTGGAATCCTGCAACAGTTCTGAAGAAACATTACTCTCAAAGGTCATACATTCTTCGCATGCTTGATGGAAGGATTTATAGAAGAAACAGAAGGCATCTGTTAATGACAAAAGAACAAGAATTTCCATCAACAAGTGATCAAGATGACTTTGAAAATGAGTCAAACACTAATGCAAACCTGGAAAGCTAAATGAGTCCAGACCTGTTGTGGTGGAGCAAACACGTCAAGAAAAATCATCTGTGAGCAAGCCAGTCATCATCACAAGATCCGGAAGAGAGGTTAAAGTTCTTTCAAGATTCAGAGACTTTAAAATGCACCGAAATAGTTATTGAAATAAATGCATCAGAGTACATGTTTAATTATTTAGTTAAGAAATAATGCATATGTTGATTAATGCATTATTGAATGTTTAGATAACTGTTAAAAAAAAGGGGGGGGGGGGTGTAATGTATTCAAGTGTAATACGTCATGATGTAAGTGCTGTTACGTTCCCCTTCCCCAGTCTAGAGTTGGGGAGTGGGTGTAACAGGTTAACTTAAGCTTATCTCTATAAACTAAAAGAAATAAACGGAAAATAAAGCGTGAAGGAATCACTCCAGTCCTCTGCCCCAGAAACGCCAGACAACCACTTGGTTTAAAACAAAACAAAAATGGCACCCTCTCCCTACAGCTTCCAATTTAACAAATCAAATGAACAACAATTACAATACCTTTTTAATACCTTGAAGAACTAAGTTAGAGTAGTCACACTACCTGCACAGTAGCAGCACAACACTGCTGGACAACAGGGATACACTATAACAATCAAAAGCGTTTTCATGAAGGAATGTCCCAAGTTTGCACCACACTCAGCAAACTTCTCAAACACTAACAAGTCTAGAGCAGGGGAGAAGTGAACCTCCCTCCCAATTGTTTCTTCTGCTCTTTTGTAGATTTTGCGTCTCTGCAGCACATTCTCTGACGAGCACCACCTGTGGGCAATCTGCTACTGCCAAGCAAGCAGAGAAAGAGAGCGAGCACATACAGCACATACACAGGATAACATAACCACACCCAAAGGGGCGGGAAATACACTTAAAAATAAATAATATAATACAATACATATATCCTAGGGATGTAACAGTGCGTAACATGAAAGCACGTGACATGTAAGAACGAGGTGGTAGATAAAGCATGAGAGTTCTAGAGCCACGTGTGTGTCGTCTCATTTAATGGTTATAAAACAACAATACAAGGACCACCTGTAATTAACTGTCTATAAGCAAATTGTATGAAAGCAAATATATATGATTCAGATTAGTGCTAATTCAAATTAATTCTAATTAGACCCTAATTCACCTAAACATAAAATATTTAAGGACAGTGTGTTGGTTTCTCGGACATGATTAAACAAAAAAAATAACCGATGCTTCTATCCTCATCCTTTTGTCCAGATTTGTTCTTTTATTCAAACATATATGAACAAATTAATACATACAATGACTTGAATAGATTTAACAGCCTAACATTAAACACATGCACATAAGGCCCTTTCAAAACAAACCAGCAACCTAGATTTTGATCACATCCACCATTTGAAAACCACTGCATTACAGGCGAGTTATGAAGTCTATATTCTCAGTTTGTGCTGATTATTGTACTTACATGCTGTGCTGAGAAACACAAGGAAAAGCAAAGACCTCATGATGATCTATGATCTAACACCTCACTCCACTCATTTATACAGATCAGAGATTTACATCACTATCCTGTGACCCAGTGATTAATCAATAACATTGAAAACTCAGAGAAACAGAAATGCACAGCTGCTTAATGAATCAACTGTATTATTGTCATGCTGACCCTGGATTGTCCTCTGACTCAGCAGCTTTACTGTATATGGTGTTCATACAAATGCATGTGATTCTTGATATTAAACATTCTTGAGAAAAAAATGCATAATCTGCATAATTACTCAATTTGCTAAGTTAAAATAGTAGTTATTTGCCATGGTTAAACAAAACCAGTACATTATTTCATTAAGTCTGGGTATTAATTTGATAAGTGAATTCTGAAGACTATTTGGCTGGAAGAAAAATAAAATGCATTTTTATTTATTTATTTATTCAATTATTTCACACAGTTAAATCTATCAAATAATATGACTGTTCATTATCCTGTTAATGCAAGTCATGTGGACATATACAAAACACAAATAGCGCTGTATACTGAGAAAACAAGTTGTGATTCTAAAGAATAACACAACATCTTTAAAATCTAGTAAAGATAGAAATTCCTAAAACCGTCTGTCACTGGTTGTCAGCTGATGTCTTCTGAGGGGGCACATTTAGTCATTTTGGAGAGGGTGTAAAAAAGGTGAAAGTGTGAAATGTTAAACTCATGATACAAATAATCATGTTGTCGAATGTCGATGGTCTTAATTGTCCCCACTTTTTGTGACTGTGGAACTAATATGATTTTTGGAAAATCATTTATTATTAATAAGAAAAACATGTGTTATAAGGCTGTAAATTGCAAGCTTTTGACTGTGGTTCCTGCTCTTCTTGAGCAATGTGAGTTGAAGCAGAAGTAGTAGAAGTCAGAGGCGGACAGTAACTACGTACATTTACTTGAGTATTGTACTTAAGTACACTTTTTGAGTATCTGTACTTTACTTGAGTATTCTTTTTTTCTGGGAACTTATGACTTTAACTTCACTACATTTGAAAGACAGATATTGTACTTTTCACTCCACTACATTTCTAGGAAGATCCTCGAAGTAGAAAGTCGTTAGCCGCTTTGAAAGTCAGTGGGTGATTTCTTTCTTCTGATTTTTTTCAGACAGTTTGTCAGTAATCACTCTTGTAGGGCTACATGAAGTGATTTCCCAGCATTTTTTGAACACTGACCAGTTCCAAATGTGATATTTATTTACAACAATTCAATAATAAGAAGTTAATATTGTGGTTTATATTAGACACAATATTGTCTGATTTTGCCAAATTGTGTTCGTGAAAATATTACCTATAAAGCCACAGAAGAACGGTTGTGCATCTCCTAATAAAACACTATAGGTGTTGGACTGCACAGACTGTTCTGTGTGTGACATCAAAGTACCGCGAGAGCGATTAGACAGCATTTTTTACATTTTTTAGTTTTGATGTCAAATAAGTCTTGCTGTTTTGATTTCTTGTTAAAGCAGTGTTGCTGTTGTAAAGTTGTACAGTTACAGCTCTGTTGCTGGGTTTTGAAGCAGGTTCGATTGTTAATTTTCTTCCTTATCAGTCTGTATTTACAGGATTTCACTGTCCACTCTGTTCAAATGTGGATGAATGGCTACACATAGATGTGTCCAGAGCTAAGTGAGATCACTACCATCCTGCTTTTGTGGGGGTGGGTAGGGGTGTTAAATGATTTTTATTTTTGTTTAGTTTCTCCCCATAGCTTTTTTTAACATTCTAAAAGCTCTTTATTCCATAGATACTACAAGCTAGTCAGTGTATTCAGTAGGTGTAATGTATTCTAAGTTGCTTCAGAAGTACTGCAAGTACTATGTACAACAATAAAACAATGCATTGACATAAAAAAGGAAATTTACTTTTGGTACTTAAGTACTTTTAAAAGCAAGTACTTCTGTACTTTGACTTAAGTAAAAATCTGTCTTTACAACTTTTACTTGTAATGGAGTAATATTTGACCAGCAGTATCTGTACTTTCACTCAAGTAATAGAGATGTGTACTTTGTCCGCCTCTGCTGTAGAAGTCCTAAAGTGAATTGCTGCAACGGACTCAGCAGGTCATTTCATATGACTTGATGATGATTTTTTATTAATTTTTTTGGCTCCCCGGTAACATATTTAATGAGGGGCAGGAAAATGACCTAAGGTATTTAACATTTAATGTGTGCATTGCTTTCCAAATGTAACATAATCGCGCGTTATTTCATTCTAGTGCCGGAGCCCTGCAGAGTGTAGATTCAACCATAATTAAATACACCTGATCCAGCTAATCAAGTCCTTCAGGCTTATTTGAAAACTGCGTGGTATGCGTGTTGGAGCAGGGTGGGAGTTTGACTCCCCGAAACATTCTCATCAACTGTCCAGTAGAGGGCTGCAGTCATCCACACATGCTGCTCACTATACAGCAGCACTTAAAGTTATTTCAATGAAGTTATATTAAAATAACATAAAAAAGTTACATTAAAATAACTTAACAGTTATAATAAAAGATAAATTAATAAAAAATGTAAAATAAAACAGGATAAATTCACTTACAAAGATATTAATCATAATAATCCTCTCAACAATTGTTGGCTATATTGAAGACCAACATTCTGGAATAATAATATTAAAAAAAAATATATATATATATATATATAGGCTATAATCACAAATAGTCACAGTAATCTGTTAACACCTCCTAGTTTCTGTTTATAAAAGCTTGAAAACAAACAGCGTTAACATTACTGCAGCAGACTTAGAGGAAATATCTAGCAATAATTACGAAATAAGTTTTCTCTAGATATAACCTGATGATTGATGACCTGAAGATGTTTTGAATTCATACTGATTTTTTTAGACATCTATATCAAGATTGAAAGTAAAATAGCCTAAATAAACAAATACAAACACGGTGTCCAATTCTTTAATTCAATGTAATACTTTAGCATAAAATACAGGATATTTCAGTGCAAATTCAGACACATTACATACAAGAAGACTCTTGGGACGGGTGGCTTAGTATTTTGAGTGACATGTGGATCTACTGATCAACGTAACGAGCAGGGATTCAGTTTGAGTGACACCTCTGTCGACCAATAGCGATCAGACTCAGAATAGCATCGGTCCAATCAGGAGCAGGTGGGCGTGAGCGAAGGATTAGCGAGAGCGAGAGAGATCGGGCGCTATTGAATCGGACGCTGATATCTTTATATTATAATTACAGAATAACGCACAAGTGTCGCAATGGTGTCGCACTCGCTGGCTTTACCGATGATCTGTTTCACCACGCTGTGGGGTCTGGTCGGGGTTGTCGCCCCGTTTTTTGTACCGAAAGGACCAAACAGAGGGTGAGGACTGATGCTGGAATAAAGGCCGAGCGATCCATCTTTAAACGCGTTCCTTGTACACTATAGCCTGTGTCGTTCAAATGTTATTGCAATCTTATTCTGTGCTGCATATCAGCGTTGATTTTTGATTTAACTGTTTAATTACAGTGTCATCATAACCAGTTTGGTGCTGACCGCAGTTTGCTGCTATTTATTGTGAGTATAATTGCACATTTTGGGAAGATACTGTCAAATATATCCTTACATCGTAAAATACTCAATTTAGTTATTAATAGTTTGAGTAACTGGAATAAAAAAAATAAACCTCCATGCATGATAATGTAGGATATGTCCTTAACAAATTCGCTGTAACAGTGCATTTCGCTGTGATTTGTCTGTTGATGCTTAAATGTATGAAATAGCAAACAGTGTATTTTGTTATTTTGAATATTCATTACTCTGTTCATATGCACTGCAGCTGGTTAGTAGCAATACTGGCCCAAACAAACCCTCTATTTGGACCTCAGCTTAAAAACGAGACCATATGGTATCTGCGGTACTTCTGGGAGTAGATGGAGGTAAACTTGTGTTCATATCAGCATATTAGTTGATAACTGGATTTATGAGCATACAATAACCACTGAGATGTTTCTGATGCATTCTCGTGTCTTGCAGGTGTCCTCTGGAAGACTCTGAATCCCATTTCTTAAGGTCACTATTATAATCAATAAAACCCACAAAATAGTTAAGGGAACAATATTCGTAGTTTAACGACTTCTTCAATTACAAAAAGAACAATTTAACTTTTGTTTAAACGTGAACATGTTACTTTATGTAACATAATGAATAGAACATTTGGAAATGATATACATGTACAAAGAAATGTAATCGTGATATTCTTGTGATGTTTAAAGAATTATAAGGAAATCAGTTTGTGTGCTTTGGATTAGGGATGGGCGATACTCCGTATTTTGTTTTCGATACGATACCGATATTTTTCAAGGCAGTATCGTCGATACCGATTCGATACTTCTGCACTAAACTTTTAAATTATGAAATTTATGAAATGATTAAATTACTAAAGAGTAAAATGGGTAATGAAAACCACTTAACTTTGTTTAAAACGCATTTTAACCCGTTTAATCCCAAATTTTTCCCAGACATGAAAATATCCAAATGATGTGTCATTAGTAACCATTTGAAATAATCAATATATATATATATATTTTTTGGAAAAGGGTGTGAAAAATTGTATTTTATGGTCTGTCACAATTGTAACCGGTGGGATAATGTGTACTGAATTAACATATTTCTGCAGTCTTAAAAATTGTTATATATATAAACTGTTTGATCACATTCTAGGGTTACTATTATGCATAAAAAAACCCTTATACAACATTGATAGGAATACTGAGATCAAATACAAAAAATACAACCATCAACGTATTTCAAAATTGTTACTTTTTGTAACATGTATCATCATATTTTTATATTAGTGCTACCAGTATTACAACATTAATATTCTAACTTATTTGTAACATTTGAACTTTTGATTTAGTGCAATATTTTGTACTGCCATTAGGGACTGCCAGTGAATGGCTGTTGCATGCATAAAATGCAACCTTTTTTATTCGGACAGTGTATGATTTCTATTAACATTACAGAATAGAACATGATCAGTATTATCTTTCAACGTTTAATTTAAATAACTAATTGCACAAACTATGTAGGCTACAATTTCAATTTGTTTATTGTGAAATAACTCAAACAGTTATGTGTTTTCAGGGCTGCCGTTCCCAAAAGCTTTAATGCTTTCTTATGATACTTTTGGGAAACGCAGCCCTGTTTGAATGTACTGTCAGAAGTGAGTGAACGCTCTCTGTGATTGATTGGTTCTGTCTTGCAACATTTGCGTGTGTTCAGATGAGGAAGAATATAGTTATATCCTACACAGTTACTCGCTAACAAAGGTTATTCGTCCAATTCAATGCATATTGTACACATTATTATTATTATTGTTAAATAAACAAAATCACCGGTAAATAAAACGCACCTTAGTATCGATATTTTTTGTTTGAGTATCGATACTTTCGATACTCTCGTCAGTATCGATATATCGATACTTTGGATCGATACGCCCATCCCTACTTTGGATGTCTGAGAGTGAGTATATGAGTAAATGCTTTTATGTTTTGTTTTGCATTAAGGCACATGTTAGTCTATTTTTATTATGTTGTCCTCACTTGCATGTGACACTGTATCCATGTTTACTTGATAAAATCTTTTTTTTTTATATATATATATAAATGTGACAGACGTTCTGTTGGTGTTTTATGTCATCGTGTGTAGATTTTTTAATTTTTGAAGCTGTTCTACATGAAAAGCTAAGGAAATAAAGAGAGTATTGATGTGAATCTATGGGTTTACTGCATTTCCGTGACAGCTATGATGGTCTGGCCTTCAGACCAGCTGTATATAAAGCAATCTCATAGACACAACATAGGAGTTAGCTTGCAAAATTGGTGAATGTTTGATTTATGAATACGTGTCAAAGCCACAGTTTATATACAGTAAGTGAGTCACCATACAATCAGAAGCAAAAGTGCATGTCTAATGTCAGAAAGGTGGAAAGGTTTGCATGAGTCAAGAAGAAGAAATGTACAGATTTGTAATTCATGCACAGTGTGTACAAAAACACAAATTGACTTAAAACTTTTATCTTGACTACAAAATGATCAGTTATTAATATTTTGTCAAAGAAAACAAGCAAAAAAGACCTTGACAGCGGCTGCTTCATCTGTATTTTGTGAGGCTGATTAATTGTGACCTGTTTGGAACTGAAAAACATGCAGTTGATATACAACCACTATGGAGCATCTTAATTCATGAATACTAATGCTTATGAATTAATGAAACATTTAGCCTAGAGTACAACAGTGCTGGCCCACTTTTTCAGCCTTGGTTTGAGAAGTATTGTTCCTATAAAGTGCTCATTAGAGCTATAAGCCTGCCATGACAGTGAATCACACCATCACAAACTTATATTAGAAGCAAAAAGTATAAAGAAAAATCCAAAAGACAACACATAGATGGAATTAACTACAATCCCATAAAGCATTGTGAACAACTAAATAAAATAAACAACGGTCAAAAACGTAAAACTGCTGACTTGCAGTTTTTTTTATTAATATATAAACAAAATAACCATATTATGTTGGTAAGATAATCAGATTTATAAAATATACAAGTACAAGCGGTGCTTTAAGAGTGGGCGGAGCACTGCAGAGCTTCGATTTTCTGATTGGTCGATATTTCTCTGTAGGATTATGGGTAATGTAGTTCTTCACAAGTAATCACACTGTTAAACATTGTTTAAAGGGGTCATATGATGCGATTTCAAGTTTTCCTTTCTCTTTGGAGTGTTACAAGCTGATTGTGCATAGATAAGATCCCTGAAGTTGCAAAGACTAAAGTCTCAAAACCAAAGATATTCTTTATCAAAGTTAAGACTCTGCCACGCCCCCCTAAAACGGCTCGTTCTAACACGCCCCCACATATCTACCTCACTATGTGGAAATATTAGCATAATGCGGCCCAAAAATGCATGCAAAGAAAGAAGGCGTGGTTTCAGTAACCGCAGTTAGTGTTGAAGCAGCCATGTCAGGGAGACACTGTGTTTCTAGGCGAAAGCAAAAGCACTTTATTTGGCCTTCCGAAAGTAGATGCATTTAGGAATCTTTAAGATCACTTACAACAGAACAGCAATGCATTTTATGGACGACCGTTTCGTGAACCTAGGAGAGGAGGTCATTCTGACTTTGCTATGACAATCTGCGCTTCTGAATCAGTTACTGTTTTGTTATTAGTTTAAGTATTTGCTATTGACTGTTCAAATGCGGAGTTTTGCGCATCGTGCGTGTGTGTGCGTGCGAGCGAGAGAGAGAGAGGGGGGGGAAGGTCATATCACAGTGGAGTCAGCTGTCTTCACCGTGGCTTGTGTACTGCAAATAATGATCTTTAAAAAAGCATCATATGACCCCTTTAAGAACGTGGACTGACTGCTTCAACTTAAGTGTATATCATTCATAAACAGCCTCGAAGCTCATGGTACATCTGTCTTTACAAGCTTATAAGTAGTCGTTCAAAGTCAATTCCCTTATGGAGAACGTTTCAAGAAGGTTTCCAAGAAACATCAGGACCAGTGTTGGGGGTAACGCATTACAAGTAACGCGAGTTACGTAATCAGATTACTTTTTTTCAAGTAACTAGTAAAGTAACGCATTACTTTTTTAATTTACAAGTGAATATCTGAGTTACTTTTTCAAATAAGTAATGCAAGTTAATTTTTTTTTCAATTTATTGATTGACAGCTCTCCTGTTGAGAGAAATCAGAAGATAGTTAGTGCAGTTCTAAAATAAATATGAATATGCATTAATTCATCTCACTCACAAAAAAACACAAATTCAGTATTCCTCAAAATTAATAAAAATAATGCAACTCAGAATATGACGCAAACCTGCAATAATTCAATGTTAAACAACACAAATATGCTTTATGTATTTAATCCCATTCTATTAACTAATGTCTTTTAATGGCTTCTAACCTTCGATGATCCAGTTCAACCGTACTAATAAGCACAAATTACTCTAGACAGACATTTGTGTCTTTTTTTATTGCTGAAGTGTGTTGAAATGTCTTCTGCATTCTACTGTATGGACGTAAATTTACTTTCCCTTCAGCCTGAGGCTTATTTATTTCATTTCTGGTGTGAAAGGCTTTTATATTTGCCAAAAACATGCAATAATTTTATTTTAAAAACAAACAAGCAAGCCCTGTCCAGATTTAAAAAGTAACACAAAAGTAATGTAACACATTAATTTCCATAAAAAGTAACTAAGTAGCCTACCGTAATTAGTTACTTTTTTATTGAGTAATGCAATATTGTAATTCATTACTTTTAAAAGTAACTTTCCCCAACACTGGTCAGGACCATATAGGTAATTAATATTAAAAAGCTAAACTTGGGAATCGTGGTGTTGCACGCAGACTTTAGTCAGTCTGCTGCACGAGAAAGTGAGCCCGCTCCTGCAGCTGATCATAACTCAAGCAGAACTGTTTCACTTCTTCAGATACAATTATATAACAATAATAACGACGAGATACTTATAAACAAGCTGACTTGACACTGCTTGTCAAGGTTTTTTTTTTTTTTTACAGTAAATAAGGACTGTTTGAACATCTGCAGCAACCAGGTATGCAAAACAAAGTCGTCTCAGCTACATTTAAGATGCATTATAGCACAAAAATCATTTATTTAAGCAGTGTATTTATTTAGGAGATTTAGCCTAAATACAATGTGAACACACGTACTTATGAGGTTCAGAAATGGCTGTTTATCATGACAAGTTTTCCCCAAACGTTGTCGGTCTTTTGAGTTGATAAGTGTGTTGATTATTAACTGCATGGTAGCTATAGAGTATACCAGAGTTTCCCTTTAACCACATCTGTTTTCTTTTCTACAGACAGATCACAACCAGTGGCATGTTTGCAACACGAAGTTTCACTCTTCTGTGCAGAAGATCAGCTGCTTCAACATGGAGAAATAAAAGTCAAAGTGCTGGGAAGAGGCTGGATATAAGTGAGATTTATCCTCCCATTGCCACTCCATTCACTCAGAGTGAAGATGTGGACTATCAAAGACTTGATGACAGTCTTAAAGGGGTCATATGATGCTTTTTTAAAGATCACTATTTTGTGTATTTGGTGTAACAGAATATGTTGACATGCTTTAATGTTCAAAAAACACATAATTTTTTTAATACTGTACATTATTGTAGGTCCTCTATGCCCCGCCTCTCTCAAACGCTTCGTTTTCTACAAAGTCCCTCCTTCCGACAAGTAGTACTGCGACTTACCTTTCAGAGGTGGGTTTGCAATTACTGTTTGGCAATCGAATCAAACACACAATATTCCTGCATATGAAGCAGCAATTGCAAAGAAATCTAATGAATATAAAACCTACATCATTTAATATGTGCTATATTGTCATATCGATTTTGTGTGACCCAGCTTTAGTTAACAGATGTGAGACGATAAACCTCATGCAGTAAAGGTTAAAGTCCGCTTTTACAGTGCACCACCTACTGGACATTTTGAAAACGCCATCTCAATATTTTTCCTCATCCTAAAGTGTAGTTGTACAACTCCATGTTTATTGAACTGGCAGGTCTTGTAGTGCAGGGCTCTAATGGGGAATATCCATACCTGACACCGGAGGAGAGGGCTGAGGTGGTGAAGAGAGTGAAGCAGACCCTGCCAAAAGACAAATTACTCCTGGCTGTGAATGTAAGTCTCTCTTGTGTATTTATTTATATACCAGATGATATTTTACACACTAGATAATGTTTGTTTTGTTTTCCTTGTCTGTTCTTGTAGCCACCAGAGCCACGATCCAAATGAGCCAGCGAATGGCAGACGCAGGTGCTGATTGTTTGTTAGTGGTAACACCTTGTTTTTACCGCAGTCGAATGGATAGCCAAGCTCTTATAAACCACTACACAAAGGTAGTCTTGAGTAATTATTTTTTTGTATTTAATCATAGACTGTTCTTTCCATCTGCAATGGAACTGTGGCCATTATGCATCTCATTCTGCACTCATTTGCATTTTACTTAGTTAAATAGTGGTTGAGCTTCACACTTTGTCTTCTTAAAATGCACTGTTGCTTTCCTCAATTCCAAGGTGGCAGATTCCAGTTCAGTGCCAGTTGTGTTGTACAGTGTGCCAGCAAACACGGGTCTTGAACTGCCTGTGGATGCAATAATCCAACTTTCCCAGCATCCAAATATTGTTGGCCTCAAAGACAGTGGTGGATATGTAAGAGCTACCATAATAAATATGAAATAAAATGATATATATTTTATACATAAGAACAATGTATACGTGACATATACAAATGAGAACTATTGTAATAATTACAATGGGTATTGAAAAAATCAAATTTTGTTGCTTTGCTGCCTGAAATGAAGACGGACACAGTTTTTGTTTTATCCAGCTGTATTTACTCAGTGCAACTTATAACATCCAAGTAAAAGAAATAACACCAACATGTCAGAATAAATAAATAAATAAAAAAACAATCAATGATTTGGAAAAAGGATCACCCCCCCTCCTAAAAATGACTGGTAAACTCAATCCGATGCACACAAAGCCATTTGACTTTCAATTGTGATCAGCTGTGGTCATTTCGATCAGCTCAGCATGAAAGGAGCTTTCCTGGAGCATTTCAGTCCTTGGTAGTGCAACTGAAGCAAACAATCAACTATGGGAGGCAAGGCACTGTCAAAAGATCTCCAGGATAAAGTTGTGGACAGGCACAAGTCAGGAGATGGAGACAAAAACATTTCAAAGGCTTTATCAATGCCTAGAATCACAGTGAAGTCTATTATTAAGAAGTGGAAGGTATTTGGTACAACACAGACCCTCCCTGGATCAGGACGTCACTTTAAACTGGATGAAAAAGCCAGGAGGAAAAAAACACACAGCAAAACTGAGCACACAGAGGTTGAAGGAGAAAAAGGTGAATGTCCTTACATGGTCCAGTCAGAGCCCAGACTTAAACCGCACTGAAAATCTGTGGAATGACTTGACGACTGCAGTCCACACATATGCTCACCATCAAATTGAACTGAACTTGAGCAGTTCTGCAGATAAGAGTGGGGAAATATTGCAAAGTCTAGATGTGCAGAGTTAGTAGAGACAAATCCCAACAGACTAAAGGCTTTAATGAAAGCAAATGGTGGTCCAACAAAATACTGACGTTTTTTTTCTGACATGTTGGGGTTATATCTTTCACTTGGATGTTATAAGCTGCACTGAGTAAATACAGCTGGATTAAACAAAAACTGTGTCCGTCTTCACTTCAGGCTGCAAAGCAACAAAATGTTATTATTTTAAAGGGGGTGATTCTTTTCTATACCCATGGTATATTAGCTGTATACAAGATTAATTGAAAAAAAAATTTTTTGTATCATTCATTGTTTCATGAATGTATTAAGTCGTTCTGCCATTTGTTTTTGTTTACTTTTATTCTGCTATATTGATATTTGACAGTTTGAATTCTGCTGATCTCCTTTGAAAGTAATTAATTATTTTTAATTAGTTTTTCTCCATGAGGTGCTTTTCATTTGAAATACTCTCAGACATACAAGTGAGCTGAAACAAAATTGAAGGCAAAATTGTACTCTCTCTTTCTCTCTCCACCACGTGTTTATTTTCCATGGAAAAGTTCAAAAGTAATCTCTGTATTCGAAGTTAAAGGTTTTGTGCCATTCTGAATGACCTTCTCCTTTAACCACACCAAAATTAGGTGTAAAAAATGCATAATAATTGTTTTTTTTTTTTCACAATCTCATATTTCTGTCTCTTTTTTCACTCTCTTCTATCACCTTAAAACACTTTAATATTTGATAACCGACAGATCACCAGAATAGCTCTGCTTGTGCAAAAAAACAGATCGCAGGATTTCCAGGTTCTTGCAGGATCTGTTGGGTTCCTCGTGTCTGCATATGCTGTCGGTGAGAATCAGTTCCTAATAATCCTTACACCGTCAAATGTTTTTCAAATTATTAATATAATTGATTAATATAGTTGGTGCACCCTGTCATACAATATTTACTTATATTTTATTTATTTATTATTGAGTTACAACACAAGACCACAATATATACCTATAGTTGTACTTATAAAAAATGTACTTCACAATATTTTTTATTTATTTTTTTGCTTTATAGAAGGCAACAGTTGTGGGAGTTTTGATTTACAACTACTTAATGTCACAATGTAAAAATATTGAATTGGACCTAAAGATAAGCTTTAATTCTTTTTATTTTGACTTTAGGTTAATTATGACCTACGTTGGAGACATTGCAGTTGATTTATTCTGTTTGTCTGTACAAACTGTTTCAAATTCCTCATACAGAAAGTATATTAATAGCAATCATTTGAACACGACAAGGTGAACATGTCAAATCATGCAAATTGTCGCCGTTCACCTTAAAGGGCAACTGATTAATGTACATTCACAGAAATAGCAGTACAAAGACAGTCCCTAATAGAAACATGTCAGTCCTAATACAATATCCACTGCATTTTTCTCATAACAACCAGTTTTGATAACTTACTGGGAGACAAATCTGCCGTTAATTTAATGCCAGCTTGTGGGAGAGAGACTAGGAAGTCTGTCAATTAATCAACACAATCAAAGTCACCTTAATATCTGCCAGAAAGACTGGGGGTGGCGAGGTACAAGGTCATTATCATGTGCAAGGGTGGTGTCAGTCTGTCAATCAAACTGTTGTTTATGTGGGAGGGGTCTATAGTTTGTCAATCAGATAGTAGAGGAAAATTAGCGGTATTGAATTTCTAAATGTTTTTCCACATGGTTCAAAAGCTGCATGTTTGTGAGAAAGAAATCCATCATTAAGATGTTTTTAACTTTAAACCGTTGCTTTCAGCTAAATACGAGTCTATAATCCATAGAGAAATGTGCACAGATCAAGCACCATTTACAAGCAAAACCTCTTTTTCACTGGAGGAAGCGTTATTATGGATTATGGATTTTAATTTTGGCAAAAAAGCATGATTTTAAAGTTATGTCTTAATGGTGGATTAGTTTCTTACAAACAGGCAGCTTTTGGCTTCACAAGATGTTAATTGATGGACTGGAGTGGTGTGGATTACTTGTGGATTATTGTGATGTTTTTATCAGCTGTTTGGACTCTCATTCTGACGGCACCCATTCACTGCAGAGCATCCACTGGTGAACAAGTGATGTAATGCTACATTTCTCCAAATCGGATGAAGAAAAACTCGTCCACATCTTGGATGGCCTGAAGGAGAGTACATCTTTAGCAAATTTTCATTTTTGGGTGAACTATTCTTTTAAGAGCCGATTTCGCTGTTTATTGTAGGGGCTGTGGGAGGTGTGTGTGCCCTCGCAAATATCCTGGGTCAGCAAGTGTGTGATCTAGCACAGCTGTGTGTTTCAGGATGCTGGGACGAGGCCAGAGAGCTCCAATATCGCCTCATCGAACCCAACACAGCAGTGAGCATCACATCACCATGGCAACGCTGCACATTTATACCACTGATACATTTACGGTTATATAGGCACAATAACATTGGAAGCAACCCTTCCCCCAAGAGCTGCTGAACATGAGCTTTGCTTCAAAGGCTATGAGAATGATTCACACTATGGTGTAAATGCACTTTTGAAAAAAGAAGCAAATAATTGGCTGATCCTAAAAGGTTTTATCAGAATGAACAGACTCTGAACTATGCCTTTGACCTTGTGTAAAAGAGATTCTGTGATTGATTTTGACTCTGTTCATTAAATTGCATTGTCCCTCCCCCCCTTTTTTATAGGTAACTCGGCAGTATGGCGTTCCCGCTTTGAAACAAGCAATGGAGTGGTTTGGATATCATGGTGGTGTGTGCCGGTCCCTGTTGCAGCCTTTATCAAAGGCAGATTTAGAGCAGCTTCAAGTCAAATTCTCCTCCAATGGCTGGCTCTAGAAGTAGAATCAAAGGGTTACAGTACCAAGGCATTCTAAACGGAATGTTTGATTATTCTTTTTGTGTTATTAATTCAGAAAGATTTTATTAAGAGATGTTCCTCATAACATTGCATTAAAATATTATTTGCAAGCTATAGCAGTGTGTGGGATTCATCTGTTTTTGTAAAAACAATTATTGAAAAGTATTTCAGTATAACTGGTTTGATTATTTTTTCTTCCATACTCTTTGTTGTATGGTGTTTGATAAGGATTTTTGTATAATTTTAGTGTTTAGTTTCTCCTTTTCTCCAAGCATTATTCCCTGATGCTTGGTGATGTGATTTGACACTTATTCATTACATCTTATTCTTGTTTCAAAGTAAACCAAAACAATACTTTGTATATTTTAGTACAGTATGTATTATATACATATTTAAGTAAAAGGAAACAATACTTCCAAATATTTTAAAGTACAATATTCTTTATATTCTTGTTTTGAAAACAAAGCAATATTAATATATAATGTCAAAAGATTTTGACAGTGCAATATTACATTCTTAAAAGCTTTCAGAATGCTTTTGGTATTTTGAAGATAAAATATTATTATTCATCCATCCATTCCCCAAACCATGTATCTTCTGTAGGGTCACAAGACAATGTTATTATAATCATTTTTTTTTTTAAAGTAAAGCAATGCTTTCAATATTATCCATCCATTATACAAACTGCTTATCCTCTGTATGGTCACTGGACAATATTATTATATTATTAGTAAAACAATATGTGCAATTTTTTCAAATTTCAATACTTATTACATTCTTGTTTAGGAGTTACATGTTTTTTTTTTATTTTTATAAACATTGTAAGAGAACTACTTGGTTTTCATTTGTGATTTAATAATGCATGAGGTTTCAGTTTTATGTGTGACCACGAGTTGGTGCTCTGCACCACCAAGAAGTGTTTAAATTGTCTGATGAGGTGCAAACCTGTGATCTCTTTTAAAACGGATAAAAAGCATTGGTATACGAGTCATGCATCTCCAAAGAGTAATTGTTGCAGAATGAGAAAATGAGAGAAACGACAACAAAAAAAAGCTTGCTACATTTTCTAACTCTTGCTGAGAGCAAAATGACAAGAAACTCTAGATGGAGAGCGGTCATTATCTTCTCTCTTTACCTCATTCCCAGTCTATTTAGAGTGCTGTCGCTCTGACATTTCAGCTTTTTCTCTCTAAAGTTCTCGTCTGACTGTCCTTGTTGCCAAACCTTAGATGAACTATTTTTTCTTCTCACATCTCCACAACCACTTCTACAGCACGGGTGCTCACCCAAGGCAATGTGCTGACCTCAGCTGCGTGAGACAACCCGTTACCCTCTCAGTCATTAATGCAGTGGTTATGAAGAGAGATGTTTTAAAGGTATTCATATCATTTTTCCATACTCTTGACCCTTGTTTGTCTCCTGTGCTTTCAGCTCGAACCTTTCGCGCTCCGCTACTGCGCAGAGTTGCTCCATGCCCACATGATGAACTAGTGCCCTAGGCAAACTCTCTTTTCTTCTGACATCCACTAACATTTACACATCAATTAAACTCGAAAATGAGTTTGCTAATATGCTCGATGGGTCCATTCTTTGTTGCAAACCTCTTACTGGCCATGTGTATACATTTCCAGAAAAAAAGCAGACAGCACCCTTTTAAAAGGTACATAATTGTACCTTATTTGCCCCTAAATGATGCATATAAGCACCTTATAGGTGCTCATTAATACCTAAATGATACATATTTATACCTTTTGAAAAGGTACCACCCCAGAGACAGCTTTATACCCTTTTTTTCTGAGAGTGCACTGCAAAGTTTTGGGGGCGTGAAAACCTCAAACAGGTACATGACCAAAAGTGTGACTCTAATTGGTCAGTTTATTTGCAGTGCGATGGAAAAGAGAATATAACAGTTCTAGTACTGACAGCATGTGATGGTCTAAATCGACACATTAAAGGGTTAGTTCACGCAAAAATGAAAATGCAAGATATCTTAATTTGTGTTCTGAAGATGAACAAAGTCTTACGGGTTTGGAACGGCATGAGGGTGAGTAATTAATGACAAAATATTAATTTTTATTCATTTAAATCGTTCCCTGCCAATGACAAAAAAAATTTTGTAATTTACAAGACAATGCTTCCTGCCATTGATGGGAGTTTTCTGGCTTTCTGCATTTCACTGTTATGCAGTTGGAGATGCTATAACATCTTCTGAAAGATAAAAACACGATGATTAAGCAGAAACAAGCGATCGCGCATGTAAGCAGATATAAATAAAATAACGCGATCATCAAGTATTAAACAACATTTATAAAACAGATAGTTCCGGTCCCCGATTCTGATTGGTTGAGCCGCGTTCGAAGCTGTTGTAAATTGCTCTACAAACATACACCTTTGTTTACATCTGTGTGTAGCTCGGCAAACATTTTGTTGGAACCACAACCATTTCTGAGGAACTACATTGTTTGATGGAAGAATAATGTTTTTATTAATATCATTACACTTTATTTGCTCGGTTTTATTTTGTGAAACCTTACTACATATATGGAATAACCGTTTTATAAAAGCAATAAGCCCCGTGAAGCCGTGGTTTACAGTGAATTTATAACAGCTAAGGGGGCTTTGCGTCGTGCCTATGTCACGCTGCGGCTGCGGCAGGGAACAGGCAGGACGACGAGGATGAAGGATACAATAAACCTTTAATTATTTCACAAGAGGGTAGGAGCACATGCACAGGGTAACATTCACAATAACTGACAAACTGGAACACAATGGTCAGGAACTGATATAGGGTGGATAACGAGGGGCAGACAGGTGAGCACAATGAGGTGATTAACTAATAATGAAAGTGAAAGTGAAAGTGAAAGGGAAGTGACATGTGGCCAAGTATGGTGACCCATACTTGGAATTAGTGCTCTGCATTTACCCATCCAAAGTGCACACACACAGCAGTGAACACACACAAACCGTGAACACACACCCGGAGCAGTGGGCAGCTATTTATGCTGCGGCGCCCGGGGAGCAGTTGGGGGTTCGGTGCCTTGCTCAAGGGCACCTCAGTCGTGGTATTGAAGGTGGGAGAGAGCGCTGTACATTCAGTCCCCCCCACCTACAATCCCTGCCGGTACAAGACTCGAACCCGCAGCCTTTGGGTTATGAGTCCGACTCATAATGAGAACAGGAACAACCAAATAAGGACACAGAGGGAGAAACCATACTAGACAGTCCACAAGGGTGTGACAGCCTAACAACGCCCCTTAGCTGTTATAAATTCACTGTAAACCACGGCTTCTTGGGGCTTATTGCTTTAATAAATCAAAACTGCCTAACATTACCAAATTAAATGTCAACCCTGGAAGTGGTTTACCCAGCAAACACAGAACGATCCCCTAACGTTAGTTTTTGGTTCCCATTTGGTTATTTTTTTGAGAACCAAGAAATAACGTTCTACGTTCGTCTTAGTGTAAACAGGTCTAAACTCTCAGACTCGAACCTGGGTGTCAACGAGCACAACAGCTATATTTGGAGCAGCGTACTGTTACAATAGTGAGGTATTATGATGGTATAATTTTCTGAAATACTGAATAGACTACACATCTAAAACAATGTAGTGAAGTATAGTGCTTCTTTAGATATTATAGGGGTTTCGCATGGGGTACACTCTTAAAAATAAAGGTGCTTCTATGGCATCGCTTGAAGAACCTTTTGAAGAACCATTTTTGGTTCCACAAAGAACCATTCAGTCAAAGGTTCTTTAAAGAAACATCTCTTTCTTACCTTTTTGTAATCTGAAGAACCTTCTTTTGCCACGAAGAACCTTTTGTGAAACAGAATCGTGAAGCACCTTTATTTTTAAGAGTGTAGTTATAGGAAATCAGTTATAGGACGTGGCCACCAGGGTCCTCGAAAATAAAATTTTAAGTCAGCAGACAGCGACATCATGTAAGCACGGCGTTCAACAATGTCACCAACTGGAGGATGGAGAAGTGCCTGGACTTCACCATCGGCTCATCTATCGCTGTTCTGCATGTTTGTGGAGTTAGTTCATGGAGTAAGTAAATGTAAACTGTGCATTTACACAGCTTTTTAAAAATGGTGGGTGATGATGTTTTTCGTATAGCATGTATTCAGCCAATCAACGTACACTTGCGTCACTGGTAGTTCATATTGTGCTGGGTTAGACCCTACTCTGAAGTAGGAGCTAATTTAGTCCCACCAAAAGGCGTTCCTATAGCTAAAACCTTTCCCAATTCCTGTGGTGCGAACACACCAAAAATACAGTTCCACCAATAGATATAGGAACTATGAAAAGTTCCTCCGGTGTGAAAGCCCCTTATTGCAACATATGAAATAATTTTTTTTTCATCTTTCATCTTTTTAAATTAGCGAACCCTTAGCTGTTCCTACACTTGCATTCACACATCATTAATTCCAGTACACATTTGGTATTTCTGTTCAATATCTTTCCTGCAATATTTCACAAAATTCCACCTTTCTTTCAGGCTACTAATAGTGCATTTACATGTCTTAACAAATGGTCTATTCATGCAGACACTTGGGGTATTTGAATGTTATTGTGATGGAGTGGTTTTGAAGTGAGTTTGGAGCGAGAGTCTAGTATGCAAAATGTATCAAACAAAACCCATCCTAATCTTGGTTTATCAAAATAATATCAATAAATAACACAGGCAATATATATATATATTAGTCCCTGAACAGAGAATATATTTTAGAACACTTTGAATTTCAGGTAAAGGCTGAACAGTTCTGAATATTTCAATATTTTGCCATGACAACAGACCCTATGCTTGGGAAACAGGCTAAACGGTTGCAGCACTTCGCATGCTGCAGCATCGTAAGGTGATGCAAATTATGGTGACTACAATGTTCCTATGTCAACAGAGCAAGCGAGTGGGTTAAAGTCCATTTTAAACACAACCTGAAGCAAGTTTTGTGATAACAGGGATTTGTAAAAAGAGCA